GTTGCATATATTGTGTATTTGTTGAAATGTGTGTGACATGAATTGACTATGTTTTGCCGAAATGTAGATTCAATCCCGTTTCTGCGAATTTCAGCCAAATTCAATATGTCCTATGTTTAGGGAAGGTCATGCCAAATTTTTGTATGCATTTGATCCATGCATGCATACGTGGTTATAATATATTGCTCCACGTGCAGGTGATCATGAAGGTCAATGGAAGGATGGTGGAAAGATACTGACAATCCGCGGTGGACGACATGTATGAAAAAAGACTAAAGGCTGTTGTATGTCCGTGTCGAAAATGCAAAGGAGGAGTCAGGCTCGACCCCTTTAAGGGTGGTAAATTCAAGGCGCAACTGCTCATGCATGGTTTCATGGATGGCCATACTCGATGGATAGATGATGATGATAATGATGAGGATGTCGACGGGGCAGGAAATAATGACGTGGGGCCAGACAAAGAGATGACCGATTATGGGCCCCAAGAAGAAGACGGCATCGGAAATGGCAATGGCGAAAAGGCAGTACAAGGAGGAGAAGACATGGACACGCCACCGTCTTCGTCGCTACTAAGTTCAGCCATGCAGGACCCGCATGTTCGAGACCTGCTTCGCAAGAAGATGACCAGCGACAGAGCTGCTTCTAGAGAGGAGGCCAAACTGGCACAACTGGAGGTAGACTTGATGACTCCTTTGTATGATGGTTGCGATCCCGAGGTGACCCGCTTGAGTTTCACGCTAGAACTTCTAAAGAAGAAGGCAAAAAAAAAATGGACGGATGCAAGCCTAGATGAGCTTCTGAAGTATCTAAGAAGGTTCTTCCCACGGGAAGCCTACGTCCTACTAGTGTCGAGGAGGCAAAGAAAATCGTGTGCCCTCTTGATCTGCCACACATTAGATATCACGCATGCATCAACTATTGCATCATATATCAGAACGAGCATGCGGAAAAAACATCTGTCCAAAGTGCAATGCTTCACGAATAAGAAGGCCGGAAAGAAAGCTCCACAGAAAGTTGTATGGTACTTTTCGATCACTCCGCGTCTGCAGCGGTATTTCGTAGATCCTAAGGAAGCAAAGATTATGCGCTGCCACACGGAGAGGGTGAAGTCAGATGACGGAGATGATTCGAAGTTGTGAAGCAGGTCTCGAACATGTGGTCATCGAGTCTACCTCCAGTTGCGCCAGTTTGGCCTCCTCTCTAGAAGCAGCTCTGTCGCTAGTCATCTTCTTGTGAACCAGGTCTCGAACATGCGGGTCCCGCATGGCTGAACTTAGTAGCGACGAAGACGGCGGCGTATCCGCGTCTTCTCCACCTTGTACTGCCTCTTCTCCATTGCCATTTCCGAGGCCGTCTTCTTCTTCGGGCCCATAATCGGTCATCTCCTCGTCTGGCCCCATGTCGTTATTTCCTGCCCCGTCGGCGTCCTCATCATCATCATCTTCACTTATCCACCGAGTATGGCCATCCATGAAACCATGCATGAGCAAGTGCGCCTTGAATTTACCACCCTTAAAGGGTTCGAGCCTACTCCTCCTTTGCATTTTCGACACGGACATACAACATCCTTTAGTCTTTTTTCATACCTGTCGTCCACCGCGGATTGTCAGTATCTTTCCACCATCCTTCCATTGACCTTCATGATCACCTGCATGCAGAGCAAAATATTATAACCACGTGTGCATGCATGGATCAAATTCATACAAAAATTCCGCATGACCTTCCCTAAACATAGGACATATTGAGTTTGCCCAAAATTCGCCAAAACGGAATTGAATCGACATTTCGGCAAAACATAGGCAACTCATGACACCCACGTTTCAACAAATACACAATATAGGAAACTCAAATGCCACACACAATTCGGTATATTCTCATATCACACACACACACAAACACACACACACACACACACACACACACACACACACACACACA